CAAGGCAGGAAAGTGAGCTAAGACATTTAGGAGAGCAGTACGGCTGGAGTCCCAATTCCAATACTGACTAGCTGTGTGTGTGACTTTGGGAAACTCCTATAACCTCCTAACCTTCAGCTGCCTCATATAGAAAATGGGAATCATAATTCTTGGATGTTATAATACACATATATAATAACCATATATATTATATATAAATATATAAAATAACCATAATTTCAGGATGTTTATGAAAAGCCAATAAGATAATGTGCAGGAATATCATTAAGGAATATTCTTTAATTAATTAATTTTTTTGTTTTCAACAATCACTTTCATAAGCTTTTGAGTTTTAAATTCTCTCTCCTCCCTTCCCACCTCCCACCCCAAGACAGAGTGCAATCCAATATAGGCTATAAGTATACGTTCCTATTAAACATATATTCATATTAGTCATGTTGTAAAGAAGAATTAGAACCAATAGAAGAAACCACAAGAAATAAGAAACAAAGCAAAACAGAAGGAAAAAAAGAGCAAATATTCAATCTGCATTCAAACTCCATCGTTCTGTCTCTGGATGTGGAGAGCATTTTCCATTATGAGACTTTTGGAGATGTCTGAGATCCTTGCATTGCTGAGAAGAGCTAAGTCTCTTAAAGTTAGTTATCACACAACATGGCTGTTACTGTGTATTTAAAGAATATTTTCAACCATGGCTGAAAATAAAAAAAAATTAACCAGAATAACTCTAAATTAATCTGGACTTTTAAAATTAAGCAGGAAATTGCATTCTCCAAACATTCTGCTTAATCAAAGTCTTATATGTAATCTTCATTTTTAAAGTGCCCTGTCTTCATAGGATTATAGATTTATAACTAATAGCTATCTTAAAAGAATGAATTATGAGAAAGGATCTACTAAGTGCTTTGTTGTTACTCAGTCGTGTCCAGCTTTTCATGATCCCATTTTAGGATTTTCTTGGCAAGGACACTGGAATGTTTTACCATTTCCTTCTCTAGCTCATTTTACAGATAAGGAACTGAGGTAGACAGGGTTAAGCTACTTGCCCAGGGTCACATAGTTAGTAAATGTCTTAGGCCAAATTTGAACTCAGGTCCTCCTGACTCCAGCCCCAGCATTCCATCCACTGCAACATCGAGCTGCCGTATTAAATGCTTACTGTGTGCTAAACATTGAGGTTTCAAAAAAGCATTCAGCCCCTGTGCAAGATAGGGGCTGCCCTCAAGGTGCTTACATTCTAATAGAGATAATTGAGTCCATTTTAAACGAGGGAAATTGAGGCCTAGAGTAGTGAAACTACTTGCTCAAGGCCAAATGTCATGCTCGCAGAACTGAGATGTGAACTTCGGTCTAACGACTCCAAATACCCCACTCTTATTGCATCATATTTCCTTCCATTCTAAACACATATGTTGGCTCCCAATATGGCCACTTTTCCTCTAAAAGATGTCTTTTTTCTTTTGCAAGATTTCAGTAGAGGAAGTGTCTATGATATAATTCCACTGCAGCTAATACTCAGACAAACCCTAACGTTATGAATAGCTCAAAAACACACATTTCACTTAAAGCTGGTTTATTTATAATCTTTTTCCCCCTCTTTTTGAATCAGGTTTATTTCAACTACCAAAAATTAAAAACAATCATGTTAATACATAAGTAATTCCACAGAAGGATAAAAAAAATCTCAATGTTTCCTTATAAATGAATCTGACAGCTACTTTTAAAGTTTCCTGCTGTTTCTACACTTTTTTCTTACCAAAGTACGTCCAGTCTCCCTTTCACATTTGTACCCTTTTAAATAATTTTACTCACAAATGAAGCTTTATAGGTCCATGAATTTAACTACTAAAAAGTCTAGATTCATTTGAAATTAACAGCAGGCTTCTATTAGGCAATTGACCTCAAAAATCAATATAATAATTTCATTCATGCCAAGCATCACCAAAAATATGCAGATACTTTTTATAAAGAGTTAGAGTAATTAGCTTGATTTTGTTTGTCCTTAGAAAAATAAATAGCCCCTGAAATTAAAGCTGAATAAGTACATACAAAAAAAAAACCCAAACCTCAAAACAAAAAGCTATGAGGTTAATTTTTTAAATGTCATTCAGAAAAGAAAAAATAAAAGAAGCAACATAGAACTGTGTAGAAAGTCTCACTTGAAAATAACCACACAAAAAGAACTGAAAGTAAGTACATGGATCACCAAGAAAAGGAGGAGAAGCTAGTTGCTGAGGGAGTCCCTGTGAAAAAAAATGGACTTCCTAAATGGGTACAGCTACAGGAGGGGAGAAAACCTATATTGAAGATACAACAAGATAAGGGCCAGCAGGGAAGTAAATGGAGTCTGAAACTCAAACTGGCAGTTCAGAGTTCAACAGTTGCACTGCGTTCCTGGAGAAAACCCAGAGGAAGTTTTAGAATTAGATTTTTTTAATGGATTGGAAACAAGTGAAGGTGATGGATGGGATCAACGCAGTTTCCTAAGGGGAGGAGAAGGGGAAATATTCAGACAATGTTTTGGCATTCCATGTCCCTTGGCTTTGGAACACTGGGAATTCGGGGGTGGGGGTTGGAAATGCAGGCTAGGAGGTGATTAAGACTTCATAAAAAAAATTCTAGTAAAGAAAATTTGCTAAAGATAATGGTGGAATGACTTATATTCTTTCCTTCTAGGGCAAAAGTTTAGGGGTGACAACACACCAGGCTTAGTGCCTTGGGGAATTTTTCTTCTAACTAATGGAGAAAAGTAATGAAACCAATAGTGCAGCAAAGAAAGAGGAAGGGGTTTTTCTACAAAGGCAAAACTGTAGTCTTTGTAAGATATTACTGTACATCAAAAGGAAGCAAAACCCAAGAAAACCATGCACTTTCAGAGTTTGGGTTTTCTGTTTTATTTTTCCTTCTATAGCTAAAACCAACTACTCGTTTTCCTATATCACACTAAGATGAGCAAGTCATGGGGTTTGGGGGAGGGGTGTTGAAGAATCATTTATTGCAAATTTAACAGGTAAGGTCAATTATAAATTCACAGATTTCAAGCAGTAAGGCACCTTTGAGGCTAACAAGTCCAATCCCTCCACTTTACATTGAGGGAAACAAAAGCCCAGGGAGGTGAGGGACTCAGTGCTCTTTCCACTGTATGATAATGATGACAAAGCAGGACTCTGCTCTCTCCAAGTTCTCACTCACAGGCCTTGCCTCTACCGATGTTGGAAAGCTAAAACTGGGCCCTTCCCACAACTCCCCACAAGGAGCAGTGAAGCCACACCTGCCAAACTGGCCCAGGTGAAGAGCATCACTTGCCTCCTGCTGGCCCCGGGAGGCAGGTGGTGGTACTCAATTTTTTAGGTTTCTGAATGGGGCTGTCTTCTGAAACTAACTCTTCCTTGACAATACAAGGACACAGAATCAATAGTCAACAGTCAGCAGCATTTATTACATAAGCGCTTACTACGTGCCAGGCACCAGGCACCAGGCTGAGCCCAGAGGAAATAAAGGAAAGCAAAAACACCAAGAGGGATTAAATAGCTAAAAAGAAAAAGTAACATCTATGTGTGCATAGGCTTTGTCTATCTCTATCTAACCTATATTTCTGTTTATCTATCCATCTGTCTATCCTGACTATTTCTCTCTCTCTCTTTCTCTTTCTCTCCTCCCTTGTCTATTTGTCTACATATCCATCTATCTATCTATCTATCTATCTATCTATCTATCTATCTCTCTCTCTCTCTCTCTCTCTCTCTCTCTCTCTCTCTCTATCTATCTATCTATCTATCTATCTATCTATCTATCTTTCTATCTATCCAGACTGTCTATTTGTCTGTCTGTCTATCTGTCCATCCGTCTATCTGTCCATCCATCTGTCTGTCTATCTATCTATTTATCTATCTTGACTATCTATTTGTCTATCTATCTATTGGTCCCTCTATCTATCCATCTATCTATCCTGTCTATTTCTCTCTCTCTCCCTCTCTCTCCTATTTGTCTACATATCCATCCATCCATCTATCTATCTATCTATCTATCTATCTTGACTATCTATTTGCCTATTTATCTATTGGTCCCTCTAGCTATCCATCTATCTATTCTGTCTATTTCTCTCTCTCTCTCTGTCTCTCTGTCTCTCCTCATCTCTCTCCTATTTGTCTACATATCCATCTATCTATCTATCTATCTATCTATCTATCTATCTATCTATCTATCTATCTATCTATCTCTCCTATCTATTTGTCTGTCGGTCTATCTATCTATCCATCTATCCATCCCGTGTATTTCTCTGTCTCTCTCTCTCTGTCTCTCTCTCTCTCTCTCTCTCTCCTATTTGTCTATATATATCCATCCATCCATCTATCTACCTATCTATCTATCCTATTTGTCTGTCTATCTATTTGTCCATCCATCTATCTATCCTATTTGTCTGTCTGTCTATCTATCTATCTATCTATCTATCTATCTATCTATCTATCTATATTTTGTACTTAAAAGAATACAACATTATTCTACTTCAGTATCTCAGAGACAGTTGTCTTTATATCCCATAGGTGAAGCTTCCCAAAACTGGGTGATCCCAATTAGAGACAAATAAAATATAAATTATAAATTCATTCTCCAAGCTACTTAATAACAATAATAGCTAATATTTATACAGCACTTTGAGGTTTGTGAAGCACTTTAAAATACTATTTTATTTTATCCTCACAACAATCCTGGAAGGTAAGTGCCAGAATGATAGTGTTCCCATTTTATAAATAAGAAACTTAAGCAGACAGAGGTTAAGTGATCTGCCCAGGGTCACACGGAAAGTATCTGAGGCTGGATTTGATCTCAAATCTTCATGATTCTAGGTCCAGTGCCCTATCCACTGTGCCACCTAGCTATTTTAATTAAAATTCACACAAAGGGGAAAAATGTAATTTTGACTTTTTGTCTAAAGCATAAGTCTCAGAAATTGTCATACACACACACACACACACACAAAGATAAAAATTTCACTTACTTTAACTTCCACGATCTTTCCTCCGTGGTCAATGTGTCTCTCCAGGTATTCAGATGACAGCAAGTCACTGAAATAAGGGAATAGCAAGATGAATATAGGTGATGCTAGAAATCTATACAGTCTATGTCTGTCTTTTCAACAAAGCATACACTTCTATTAACAATTTCTCCACCCAAATTTTAAATGTTGACTTCAGACAGGCAGCAGAGACAGGGCAGGAAGCATGCAGAGATTTACATTACTCCTAAAACAACTACTTCTGGCACACAAAAAAAATCTTCTTCCTATCCTTTTCCTTTAAATAGTTTGGGTCAAAATTAATTCATTCTAAAAGCCTTTAAGTGCTTGCGATATGCAATAAGCTGTTCTAGGCACCATGAAAAGTACAAAGATGAATAAACCAAGGAAACCGGCCTCTATAACTTTACCATCTCATAAAAGGGGAAGATGTACACCTTAGGACACATTAGACAAATATACACATTAGACAAATTAAATATGATAAAATGCAGAAGAGGAGTATAAAGTGCTATGAGATTATTTGAAGAAGTCACTGATAGCTGAAGAAATTAGTGGCTGAATGGAACTGGCTAGCTGGGAAGGATGGGAAAGGCAGAAAAATCAAGGAGCAGAAGAAGGAAAGGACATTGTAAGCACAGAGACCAGTATGAACAAACGTGCAAAGTGCCTGACAAGTTATGGGGACAGTAGGCTTGACTAAAGCATAGAGTCCATGAGAATGACAATACTTTCACACATTTCTTCACCCATCACATCTGTGACCCATGATTTAATCTAGCAAAACTTGAAACAGACCATATTACTCCCCTACTCAAAATGTTCACTAGCTCTCTAATGCCTTTCGGATAAAATATAAGATCTTTGGCCTGGCATTTAAAGTCCTCCACAGTCTAATCCCTCCCCCCCCCCATATTTCTGGCTTTATTTTTATTGAACATTTTATTATTCTTAATTTTCAAAAATATTTAGCTTTTGCTAAGGGATCAACTGTCGGATTTCAATAAAAAGCATCTCAAGCCCAATTTATTGTCAAAAAGGTGCCTCAACTCTAACTTTTTTCAAAACCGGCTCCTTCTTTATTTTATCATTAGGCACCACTTGGCCAGAGGGAATTCGCTTTCTTAGGTAGCTACATTTGAGGAGGAAGAAATATTCTACCCAACATTCTAGCTAACTGGCATTCTAATTGGACAGCTAGGACTAATGACTTTGACAAGCTCTTCCATTACTTATGCTAATTTGCCTTATTTATCATTCTCCCTCCACTAGGATTTAAATGCTATTCTAATCCATCTCTAAGCATCCTCTCCTTCTTCCCTAATCCTCATGACCCTGAAATACCACATAAGACACAAACCTCTTCTTTCTTCCACTCCCCTATTCTCATCCCTAACCACCTGTACCTCTCATTAGTACCATTCTGTCTTTTCCTGTCACTCTTCTAGCTCGGAGGTGGGGAAGTTGCAGCCTTAAGGCCACATGTGGCCTTCTGGGTCCTGAAGTGTGGCCTTTTGACTGAATCCAAATTTTACAGATCAGTCAAAAGGCTGCACTTAAGGACCTAGAAGTCCACATGGGCCTTAAGGCTGCAGGTTGCCCACCCCTGTTAGCCCCTCTAAATCTGTCCTTCAGAACTTCTGTTCCATTGTGGTCCCCAAATTCCCTTAAATCTAATCTTTTCCTCAAAAACTTCTCCAATAAACAGAAAACTGGCCTTCCTGTGGGAAGAGCACATCCATGATGACCCTCTCCCTTTACTAAATCAATCTGACCACTGCATCCACCAGTAGGGTGGTCATATCTTAATTCTCACCATCGCACAGAGCTGTTCTACTTCCAGGGTCTCAATCTCTAGAATTTCTAACTCTGACCAAAATGTCCAGTCTTTTCATCTCCTTCTGTGACTACACTGCTACTAAATCTGTTCTCATCTTGACTGCTGTCTACTGCCTAGGCTATCACCCCTGTCATAATTTCACTTGCCTCCCTACCAACACCAAAGTTGGTCTGACTTCTACCATCTATCACTCTATACTAGCCACATTTCTAAATCCTTGGTAGTAGAAGGATCAAAGGTTGTGGTGAGCTATGTTATGTGGTGTGAGAGCAATGAGTAAGTACCAGGAGGGACCACTGAGGCTGAGAAGTACTTCTTTCATATGTGAATAGTTTGGATGGTAGAAAGGAGTAGGTTTTAAGAATCAAGATTTCATTATTTTATTTAAAAGGAGTGAGAAATTAGAATATTTGACTCAGCTTCTTCCAATTTTCCTATTTCTATGATTTTTATTTCCTCTCTCAGTCTGTCATCTTACTAAACTTTCACTGAAGTTATCATGGTCCCTTCCCCAAGTTCCACCATTGTGTGTGTGTGTGTGTGTGTGTGTGTGTGTGTGTGTGTGTGTGTGTGTGTGTGCTGAAGCATGTAGGAATGTCCACATTCCTTTCCTACTCGTGAAGTTTTTCTATCCCTATATTAAAAACTATGTCATTAAGTCATATTCTCTCTGGGGATATTGAAATAAGTTTAAACATTGTCAAAGAACTCTACATTTACAGTGTAGGGAGAAGGTATGTCTCTAGAGCAAATGTGAGGGGTAAGAGCTAAAATGGAGCGGCAGCTAGGTGGTGCAGTGGATAGAGCTTCGGTCTTGGAGTCAGGAGGGCGTGAGTTCAAATCTGACCTCAGACACTTGACAACTTACTAGCTGTGTGACCCTGGGCAAGTCACTCAACCCCGACTGCCTCATCGAAAAGCAAAAAAAAAAAAAATCTAAAATGGAGAGTCCTCCCTAATCTATAGCTCTAGTGAGTGAACCTGGTATCAACTTATATGTAAAGGTCAATCTCAAATATCACTTCCAACTAAAATTCACCCAAATTACAATAGCTTTACATAGAAGGAATACCAATTATACTAGTGAATGTATATTTCCCTCAGGTTCTCTCAGCACACATGCCCAATATTGCAAAGAAAAAAGACTGATTAAAAAATATATATGTATGCACATACATATAATTCCTATACATATATTTGTGTGTACCTATGTGTGTGTACACATATGTACATGTATACATATACATGTGTGTATATATAATACTAAGTGGACTTTCTTGATGGTCAATAATCATTTGGATGTATACATTCTGAGTATAATAGTATATATTATAATAGGTCACATATGTTTTCCTCAGGTTCTCTCAGAATATATTCCAGTACATCATAGAAAAAAGACTGATTTGAAATATATATATATATATATATATATATACATACATGTATGTATACTGATTTTAAAATATGCATAGACTAGTTTAAATATGTACACATATGTATATATTTTAATTTTCATTAAATTAATAAATTAAGTAATATATTAAATTAATTATTGTGTTTTTAATATTAAAATATATACATACATATATGTTCTAAAAGAACCTGAGGAAAACATATGTGACTTAGTATAATATATACATATATATTATACTATTACACTCAAGACTTACATATTTTAATATATTCACATACATATATGTATTTATAAATGTGTATATGTATAGATATTTTTCAAATCAGTCTTTTTTCTTTGCAGTATTGGGCATATGTTCTGAGAGAAACTGAGGAAGACATATGTAATTTAGTATAACAGATATATACATCCACATGTGTATACATATATATTATGCTACTATACTCAGAAGTTTTATATCCAAATGATCACTGACCATCAAGATGGTCCCCCTAGGTGGACATACAATTATTTCAAGGGTGCTGCTATAGCTAAAAACAGTTCTGGAGCTCCTCTTTGGAGCTGCATTGCCAACTAGGTGAGAAGACATGCAAAAAAAAAAATCCATCTCCTTACTTCATTTCTGACTTAAAAAAAATATATTACTTCGTTCAATCAATGATTTTGTTCACTAGAATTCACTAGAATTTAAGATTCTAAATGTCCTTTGTCAGCTTCCAAAAATTAAATGCATCCTCCAAGGCCAAAGATTTGTCCCCACCAAGAATATTCAAAAGAATATGGCAAATGCTACAAAAATCATTACAAGAGAGGAGTCTGAAAAATGACCTTAGCAGTAGCAGCACCATTGAAAGTAAGCAGTAGGCTGCCCAAGGTTGACTTAAGAGCTCTGGTCTTTTTGTTGAAAAGAAATTCAGCACCATTACTTTGTAGCCATGCCTCCTATTGGCTCCAACCATCATTAAGTTGAAAAAAAGTTGGCAGAAACAGGTTAGCCTCCTATACCTTTGCACTAAGTTAGTTTTTGTAATTGGAGATGATAATCAGATCTTTAGAGTAGGAAGAGAGAATGCGGCGATGCTTTTCTCTCCTATCTTCTGAGAATTTCACATCATCATTTTTCTCCCAAACCATTTGGGATCTTATTTTGCTGTGGAAAATTACTGAACTTTTCATCTAATAGAACACTTAGCACTTCCAGCGTAAAAGAAAACATGCAAAAAAAGATGAGAAGAGGAGGAAGGGATGGGTTACTGATTATAAGCATTATATATTTCAGGTAAAGAAAGATTGATTTGGAGCATATTATATGTGGCACCTTTTTTCAACCATTGTGCTTTACTTGATCTAAATTCAACGACCAAGCCAGTAAAAAAGAACAAAAACTGTGTTTTCAGTGCTGTTTTTTCCATTAGGAATTTCAAATGATGGTTCAGTAAAGGCAAAATCAATGTTTGACACAAGTGCTTCAGGTTAAGCTATGGGGAACCAGGCAGAGTCTGACACAGAATAATCTCTATTATAAACAAAGTACTGTAAATGGCCTCGAGGCATCTATAAAATAAAAATAATTGCCCTTTTTAAATGCACTTTGCCTTCTTCCCAACAACCCTGTGTGATAAGTAGTCCAAGAATCATTATCCCAATTTTACCAATTAGGAAACAGGATTAGAGAGATTAAGTGATTTGTCTAATTTTCGCTCAGGTAATAACTTTCCCTGTTTAAATTATAACTGAGGTATTCTGAGCTGCCTATCAGACCCTACCATATGCTCTCTACGCTGTTCATCCCCTC